ATCAATTCCTCTCTAGCTATTTTCATATCGTTCTGTTAGGGATTTGCTTAAATAGAGTATATCGTTCTGTTAGGGATTTGCCCGTTCATCCAGTTTCTGTCTTTTTTTTCTATTTTCTCCTTTAGCGAACAGTTGTTTCTTTTCTTTCCTTTCCTTATTTACATTTTTTGAAAAATTATACAGACATTTTTTTTTCCGTTCACACTTTATATCTTCTTGTTTCTCAAATAAACCGTCTGAAGATCATCCATAGTCTCTTAATGATCATTTATGTCCTTAGAAATCTGTAAGCTAGGATCGGATGAAAACGGGGGACTTTATCCTTTAGAACGAAAAACACTATTACTTTGTAGGGAATTGTTCATAAATTACATGTGTAATTTGATTTTGTTAGCCGGTTAAATTTAAGAGACGTACAAATTCAAACTATAGAGGCTAATAATAATATTGGAAGTTGTTAGAGGACCCTCTTAGGAAAATCCTGTAAAAAAAGTGTTTTTTTGAACTGAGGAGTTTTCATCTTAAGAAGTAAGAATGTGTTTTTGATACAAAAGTTTGTTATATACATATTTTCTTGTCTTAAAGATTGTGAATTTTTTTTTCCCTGATCCAAAAACGTGATTTTTCACTCTTCAATCGTGTCAAAGTTTGTGACTTTGTTGAAAGGCTTGTGACTTTGTTTGTTTGTTTATTTTATTTTATTTTGTTTCCAAAGTTTTGAATTTTTTTTTCTCTTTCAATCGTGTAAGAATTGTGTGTATCGTTTATACGGCGACGTTACAATCGTGTAAAAAAGTGCGAAAATGTGTTGTCCGGGTTTGGAATCAAACCGAAGCTGGATTTGAGAGAAGCTTAGTAGATTATATAAGATTATTTATAATTTATATTTTTCTGTAACACTTAATAAGTTTATTTGGTTTTTAGATTGACAGCCCGAGACACTTATCGACCGAGAGCTGGCCGAAACGCTTTCACTTTTCGATCCAGAGCCAGAGGGATCACCTTGCCAAGTTGGAGAGACTAGCTTATTGGGACAACAATGCTGTTGCGGTGAAGGTTTATCATGGGAAGTCCATCTGCATGGGACTTTCTTTCGACGAGCCAACTATCTTGATTCTCCACGGGATGTACATCAATATTCTTCAGCGTGAAGATTATGCTTTCTGGTTCCGCTACTCTGTCCCCGCAGTGGTATTACATGTTGTGTCAGTTATAATTTTTTATTTTGGCTCAATCTTATAATTTAGTAATATCTAGATATCTTCTTATCAATATTGCAGAACCGCTACAACACCGTTGCGCGTTGGTTAATTTATAGCATTGGCATTGAAGACGTGGAACGTCCAACACATATTGTGGCGTTCCTTCAAGCTATGATGATAAAGCTAGGATGTGAGGACAATGAAGAACATGTAGCCTCATTGCACGGAAAATTGGGGAATACTGCGGCTTACATCTCAAATTTTGAGCGGCTAGGAAAGAAGGGGAGTTTAGCTTTCAAAAGTTTGTTCTTTGCTCACGTGAATAATATGCCCATGGAAGCAATTGCAACTTTTGAGCAGATGCTGCTGGTAGGAATCAAGCCCACACACCAGATGTGTAGAGGAGTCCTCTCTGCACATGTTCGTTGTGGTACCGACACGTCAAGCGCTGTTCTCTTCTTCAAGAAGATGCATGACGTTTACAAGATTACCCCAAATTTGATAGACTTCTCCTGCCTCCTTATCAAGTTTATGAGATCTTTGGGCGTGGAAAGAGCAATTGAACTACTTGAAGTGAACGAGGGGTGTCTATCCAACGAGATTTGCAACATAATTTTCGGGGTCGCAGTTTTTTGAGGGGCATACCTACGACGTAAGCATGGCGGAAAGGATGGTAGGAGTGATTATCCGTGACGGAGGGAAGTATCAGCTCAACTACACAGCCTACTCCCGGCTTGAAGCTGTGGGATTTCAGTTTCCCCCATCTCTCACATGCATGCCTACACAGATGGTACGTCGAGCTAAGGGCATTGGACCACGTGCAGCAGTGAGTCGGATTGCTGAGTGATTAGGATTTTTATTTCAGTTATTATGGGACAGGTAGTAGTTTGATCTTGATGTTGGTTTTCATGGGACAACTATATATATGCATTTTCTGTGTGTGTTTTTTTTTTTTTATGCTAAGAGTACCAGTTGCTCTGTTGATCTTGTTTAAGTTTAGTGTTTGTATTGCAAAACATGAAATATTTATATATGTGTTATTGTGGTTTATGTTAGTTCTTGTGCCAAGAAAACAACATCCTCCTAGGGTCGTTTCTGCGTTGATTGTTTTTATTGTCTTAAGAGTGTTATATACCAAAGCCTCTGTTTCACTCTGTTTTGATAACCACTAAAGCTAGACTGAAGAGAGAAATTATACACACTCGAAACTTCGTTTAGACATCACAAAATATGTGACCCAAAATTTTAAAATTTACAAGTTCATTACTTCTGCGTTTCCAATATGGCTATGTAATTAACTCTTTGATAAGCTTTCTATTCTTTCACTCTGCAACGATTTGTCTCATAACTTTTATAAATTCGTTTTTCTCGCATATCTTTACAAATTATTTACGAGGATTTAGACTATGATTATAATTAATATTTTGCATTCTCAAATATAGAAAATTTCCTACCAGTGACACAATCAGAATTACGTACATCTCCCATCACCACAATATGACTTTGTTTTCCCACTGTACACCATGCCATTAGAAAAAGAGTAAAATGTTTCCACGTTTCGTTGCCCTTAACACTTCAACCAAATTTTTTTTTTTTAAAAAGGAGCCATTTTGTCATGACTGGTTCTTAATTACTAAACCAAGAAAGCTCAGGATCCACAACATATGTAGCCTATAAGCAAGCATCTCGAATCTTAACATAAGCAAACCCGCACAATCGTAACAAAAACTAAGCTGATTACTTCCTTTGACAATTGTAAACACACAAGCAAGACTTAAAAAAAACAGATTCAACTTATAGAGAAATACATTTGTGACCCAAGAGCTGTACAAACGCTAAAACTAAATCAAGATCAAACGTTCTTATCACACAATAATTCGAAGAAAGACCATAGTAAAGATTTGAGGCTAGATATGCATTTTTACAGCAAGCAAGACTAAAGACAGATTCGACCCATAGAGCAAATGCATTGCTGTCCCAAAAAGTAAATGCAACTTTCTGAGAACCAAAGAGCAATACAAAAAAGCTAAACTGAAGCATGATCCTAGTGATACATAGTCCCTTTATAACCAACCATCTCCTCACGACATAGGTAACACAATTAACATACAGTAGCTGTTACACCACAAAAGATTCAAAGAAATGCAACTTTTTGCAAACCAAGAGCAAGCAATACACACACTAAACTATTGTAAATTTTACACAAGCTTGTTCTTGAACTTTGCTTTTAACCCTTTTTGGTGTTGGATTTCTTCTAAGCTCAGGGCAAGACCCATAAGAAGAAATTATTACGTTAGTGAGATTACAAGCTACTTTATTATAAAAAGAATAGTCATGTGGTGATAAAAGCATCATGAGCAAAGGATCCAAAATCATTTAGCGTTCAAATGTTAACATACTTCAGATCTTCATCTTTTATTCCTATGATTTTCTTTGTTTTGTTTTTTTTTTTGGTAATCATCATATCCTGTGATTATGTGTTCATCTCAACTATTTTTTTTTTTTTTTTTTTTTTTTTNTACGAATTCAGCTAAAATCTAACTTCATGTTTCTTATAATCAGTCTCACAAATACTTGTATAGAATCAGTCTGAATTCAGCTAAAATCTAACTTCATGTTTCATTTGGTGGCTGTGATACATATACAGAATATGGCTACAAGGACCTTGTATTATTCCTAGTGCCAGAAAACGACGTTCGGTTTAGGAGTGAAACCTGATGCTATAACATATACTTGATCTGCAGCATTCACTATCCTAAGTCTTAACCAGATCAAGCCATCGAATCCACTACACTTCTCAGTTTCAGTGTATTGAAAGAAAATGTAAATGTTGTCCTTCTCATTAAGCGAACAGGTATGCATCTAAAAACATGTACTTGTTTTGGTACAGAGGATTCTAATTTGCTATATACACAAGAAAACACCAACACTCTGTGTTATTGTTCATCACCCATATTCAATATCTGCTACCATTATAACCAACACATTCACTTATTCAGTATAGTACTCGGCTATACCCTTTTGCTGTTTTTCAGTGACCGACTCCTTACGGTGCATCTTGTTCTAGAGTTTCAGCTTCCCTCTCACCTTCTCCAGCTGTTTCACCAAAACTATATTAG